CCCATTTCTCACTCAAATGACATAAAATTGAGTCAGATGGACCAACGCTCCTCTTGTGACCCGGCACAGACAAGGAGTTCAGCCTAATTGGACAGACCTCTCTGATTGAGGATGTGCAGCAAGGCAGCCAGCCCACGCTCTTCCACTACCTTGGTGATCGGTTATAGGGGGAAGCAAAGAGGTCGATGACGCCCGAAGGATGGGGTGAAGACTTCTCTTGAAATCAGACAAATTCTTTGACGAAGCAGTCGAGTTTGAGGAGGGTGACGGATGTAGAAAGGGAAGGGAAATTGGTGAGAGTATGCATACCTGTCGGCATTAACATTATGAGCAGACCCAAAATAAACTGGGCCCTGACTGTACTCCATCCATACTCTAACCAAATTCCTTCAAGCCTGATCAAAGCCTGAACCTCTGCAGCACTTAATGATGCCAAAACCTTTTAAAACACTGACTTGTAATTAAAAATATTTTTTAAAAACTGTCACTTTCTGTGGAGAAACAGCCATCTGTTAACTGTAGTTTCTACATTTCTGCTCATTAATTACAGGAGGGAATTGGGTCAGAACATCAGGTGAAGAATGCTGTTACATTCAAATTATACTTCTGTCAATTATCTGCCTGGGGGCAGATGTGCACTTGTTAACAAACAACAGTTTTTTTTCTCCTGCTCCGATTGACGGAAATAGCAAAAAAAAACCACTGATGAATTACAAAATGAAACCTGACCTGACTGGCGCCACAAGGAGTAAATGTGGTCCAGTTGCATGCAGGTTGAGAATCAATGCTAAGTTGTGTGCATGAGTGTTCATTAATGCATTATAATAACTGTTTTTGCCAACAGGGAAGAGACAAGTCAGGATTTTTGCTCATCTAATTTGTTCATTAAATATTTCAGTGAATCCCAAGAGATACATGGGACAACTTTTAAATAGCTCGGCTAATTAAAAAAAATATAAATTATAATTTGGTAAAAGAATATCCACATACTTGTGTTTAGGAGGAAAATAAACATACAAATACAATTACAAATTGATGTGAGACTGATCTTTATCATATTTATTGTCACAATAACCAATTAACTGGCAGCATGCCTCGGTTTCCCTCCAATCTGAGTCAGTGGTAAAACATTAACACCACATTTTGCAATTAAGAGTGCATGAAAACTAGTTAGCAAGTCAGCAGAGATAAGAAATGATCCCCAAAACTAATGGATAAATGGTTAGAGTACAGTTTCTCTATCCAAGTGAGGAAATATATTGTAACTATATCCATTTTTTTTAATAAATGATAGTGTTAAGTAATATCCAGTTTCATATCAATTAAAATGAACATATTTGAAACATGTACTGCAGTACATCTGACAGGGGCTCAGGGGGTACGTCGGACAGGGCTTGTTAAATTCTAAAAGGAAACTCTTGTTCTCTCTGTAAATACGAAGCCAAAGGATTACACAAAGCAAAGCTGACCTACTGACCCTGTACACTAGTCTGGGTAAACACACACACACACACACACACACACACACACACACACACACACACACACACACACACACACACACACACACACACACACACACACACACACACACACACACACACACACACACACACACACACCCACCCTTTGCCATCAGTGAAAGGTAACAAGATCTCTTAACAACAGCTCGTCTTTTTCAATAAATTTTGCATGAAAACATGCCGCTGGAGCACCAACTTGCCTGCTGTCATACTAGAGGAGTGTTAAATGTTTAATGACGACAACACCACACACGCGCGCACACACAGTCAGTGTCAGGGTGCCACTCTGAGGGGCCCCGCTTTCATCCTGACAGACACTATAAAGCCCCCGAGCCTCTTCTCCACCCCACCCCATCATCAACATCCCACTGCTTCGTTCCTTTCCTACCACCCAGCAAGGAAACCTGGATGTAAATGAGGTTGGAGTGTAATGCAGCGTGCGTGTATGTGAGTGTTTGTGTGTCAGTGGTAAGGATCGGGGGCTTACATAAAGATCCTACACCCATCACCATTAAGAGTAAAAGAATGGAAGAGACAGAGGAAAAAGAAGTGGCTTGTCAAAGACAGGATATACTGCAAAAAGCCTTGTTTTACATATGCCTGAAACATCTCCCCGCTTCTGCCTTTCTTCTGCTAAAGGAGGAATTGTTACCTCAACTCCTGTGGGAACATCTGGGGAATAACAGGAACATCCATGTCAGACAGCTTTTGGACGTTGATAACATCATATCAAGGTCCACAGGTAGACCACCTTAATTTGAATTTTACTTCTTCATGTTATTGTAAGCGCAGTGATAGAGTCAAATAAAGTCAAAATAAAGTAGAAAATTATCTTGTTAGACACTTTTATCATGTCAGAAAATATTCATCATTTTAAAATTAAATGCCACTAATTGAAATATAGTGCATTTTTATGTAAAAATCACATTACTTTGACTTCCTGGAGCAGAGTTTGTCTTAAGTGATTACCTAATACTGTTCCAGTGAATGTTAAATTTATGTAAAAATGTTAAAAACAAAAACAAAACAAGTATACATTTTTGAACAATCCACCCCCTCCACCTACTGCCTTTCTTTCTCTAAATGATAAGTTATGAATTACAGAAGCAAAAACCTAAAAACTGTGACAAAAAGCCTGTATGTTATCATTTTTTTGCAAGATTATTATTTGTTTTTCTAATCAAAAAGAGCAAGTTACACGTGGCAAAGTGTGTGCGTGAGTGTCTGTCACCTGGTATGATGGCAGGTCAGCACCACATGGTCTAGTCAAAATTATTCCAACATCATACCTCCACAGGTTTAAGTAAATTGGAAGGCCAGATATGACGATAGACAGTTTGAAATATATTAACACTGCCACAGGTGGAAATGCGCGCGCGCACACACACACACACACACACACACACACACACACACACACACACACACACACACACACACACACACACACACACACACACACACACACACACACACACAAAGTTAAAACGTAAATATGAGCACACACAAATGCACAAAGACAAGCTAAAGCAGGGTCAGAGATAAAGGAAGAGATTCCTATCGATGCTGAAGGATATTGAAGCCTTAATAAGAAAATAGATATAGTCTGCTGGCCTTACATTTCACTGTTAGCTTTATTTGTTTTCCTGATATTGATCTAAGAAAGGCAATATGTAATAGCTTCAAATAAACTGAGCACTTTTCCTTTAAAAGCAATTCTTTGCGTTCTGCTCACACAGAGAAATCTTGAGCCCCAAGGTATCCACTGATGACCAAAAAAACCCTCTATAAAAGGATGAAAATAAATTAGCTAAATATATGGAAACATACATGAAATAAAGCTTTTCATTACTATCAACACATCTGTTCTAGTATAATAAAATTGTGAAGCATTATTCCAAGATCATTTAGAAATTATGTAATTCTAAACAAACAAGAAAACATAGCTTGAATAATATGTAAATGCTTAACCCCTTAGTTTTAATCATGCACATGTTTTCCTCAATTATATCTACAATATGTATAGCACTTACTAAATACAAAAAATTAGCTGTGTTTAAAAAATCTCAGTTAAGATTCACTGTCAAAGGTACATTTTCTCAATAATTAGAATTGACTTCACTTAATGAGATACAGCACACACACACACACAGACACGCACACACAATTTCAAGGAAAAGTTGTTCAAGTGCTGTGACAGTTTGACAGTTTAAAAGATAGATATACTGCATTTTTGTCTTATGGCCATTGCTACAGTGATACGTTTCATCATCTGATTGCACTGTTGCATCAAGAATACATCTGAAGAATGGAGATAATTATCAGTCAGATCAAACAGTCGCAAAATTCATAAATTGCCATTTGGCTATTACTGTGTATTTCTATTAGTAAATCCAGTGAAAAGACTGTTTTCTCTCTGACAAGTTTATGAGCAATGTGCTCGAAATATTCCTTTGTTTTAAAAATAGCAGCTTAATCAATACATGGATTCACATCTCTATGTGTATATCATTAAATTCATAAGTTATTTTTTATAATATACACTTCTCAATCTATGCTCTTAATTGGAAAGTTATCTGTTAACTGACGAGGGCAAAACATATACTATACTATGAGTTTTGATACAGTTTATCTGGGGGAATCTGAAGTCCTGCAGCACAGCAGCTGGTCTGCAGCACTCATAGGATCCATAGCCTGATACACACACCTGGGCCATTCAATATGACAGACAACAACTGGGTACCGGTCATATTAGAGTGGCCTCTAATGACATTAGAGCACACCGTGCTGGGGAGGGATTGAGGGTGCTATTTTGAGGAGGCAAAGAGAGGCCCCTAAGGTAGTTAGACCTGTAGTGGAGAGTACCACTGTTTAAAGGTCCACTACCCTAAACGTGTTTCTACTGTGTATTACAGCTTTTGGATGACATAAGCTTGCAAGTGAAGATGTCATTTGCCAACATTTCTCGCCTTAATAAGGAAGTCTCATTTATTGTTTTTTTCTTGGTCATCAGAGATGCATATGATCTTGTTATGTTTCTAGACTTATTGCAGGTGGGCCCAGAGGGTGAGAAGCGGAGTTAAAGACATCAGACATCATCTGGCGACCGGAACATTCTCTAAAAACTGGATCTGTGCAGCACTCCTACCGACCATCTACTCTCATATCTCCATGACATCTTCTCTTACAAGAGGGAATTATATCACATTACAAGGCCAGTGTTGTCTAGTGTGTGATTGGAAGGGGAAATAGAGGAAGAAAGAGAATGATGGACTGATGGATGGAGGGATCAGCTGATGGATGGACAGATGGAGGAACTGGGACTGAGTTCCATATTTAAGTCTGTATTATACTGACCAAAATATTCTGTACTACTGTGGAGCCTACAGTTTAGATTGAGCAGGGCCAACCCAACCCTTGTTTGCTGCGTTTGTGTCTACCTGTACATGTATGCTTGCATGTACATTCAGCACTTACCCCTTTTTGTCTGCCTTGTCTTTACTCTTGTCCTTCTCTTTGTCTCTCCCTCTGTCCCTCTCCTTCTCTTTGTCCCTGTCCCGGTCACGGCCCTTGCGCCGGCTCCGGTCCCGCTCTCTGCTGCGACTCCTCCGGCGACTGTGGCTGCGGCTCTTTTTGCGGCTGTGGCTCCCTCGTCGACCGCGGCTGCCGCTCCTGCTGCGAGATCGTCGGTGGCGGGAATGAGACCTGGAATAGATGAAAAGGTGGCAAGATATAGTTTGTAGCTGATAAACTGATACAATAAACTAATGCTTTTTTCTCCTCTTTTTTCTTCAATGAATAAGAAGTGAGAAGCTGGTAGTCTCTCCACAATTGAGCCTTCAAATGTTATTACAGCATTAAATATCACCAACCTAGTCTAAGTATTATAATTAAGTTATATCCACTTTCTGCCTTGTCTACTTCTACTTCAGTTAATTATTGCGTGTATTTCCCAGAATGCCTTTTGATCACTCCCAGCAAATGTGGTTGAATATGTTTCACTTAGCTGTCAGTTATGCGTGTGTGTGGCAACATTGACAGAAAACAGAAATAGGAATAGTGGGAGCAATGGAGTGTGTTCCCACCAAGAAAAACACATCTTGTGGATGCATTGCAGTACTGGGGACTCAGCTCATTGCTCGTTGAGAAAAATCTACGGCTCTTCTACGATAGATTTCTGCCTGTAAGATTGTAAGACTATATTGTAAAACAGTCACAATGCACAAGAATTAGCTAATGCAAGTGATCAGTAAAACAGTAAGCAGTGCTTACATTTACATACTTTTGTATGGCTACCAAAATGTTTTTCTGCTTTGATGTTTGTTCATATGCAAATTACATAATGTTATATGTATAAAATATACTGTAACTTCATGCGAGACATGGCGAGACTTGACGTTAACACACAGAAACAATCGGAAATTTGCATCTATAAACTGAAACTCACTAGAATAAAATTTTCTAGGAGTGGACAACTTTATCCTTAGTTGGACAGACTATAATAATACAATTATATACATTCACATATGACACACACATAGAACCACGCATACACAGACACTGTAGAAATGGAGCCAATTAGAGGCAGGCTCAGAGGAAGGCCTGTCCTCTGTATTGATCCTGACACTGGCCCTCTGGTCTCACAAAGATTTACAGCGGGAGATTTACTCTGTTAGTTATGACACACAAACATAAACACAGTTACACACATATCATTTAAACACCTGCGAAAAGAGAATTGAAAGTGTAACTCATGCCCCAATGTGGTGCCATACACAGTGACACAAATTACCAAAACATCACCACTTATTTATGTGTCACTGCACATGGCTCTATTAATGCAGACAAAACCCTTCAACATGTTCTGCTCAAGTGTGCGCGTGTGCATCTTTTGTCACTGTACATGCATGTGTGTGTGTGTGGGGGGGAAGGACCGTGATTTGAAACCCCAGTAGAAATCGGCAGCTGAGATGCCGTTATATTCCATCATCTATCATTTTATTGATTTGTCTATAAAAACAGTCAAACCTGCTGTCCACGAGCTTTATTGCTTTCCCCCCTTTATTAGTTTGCAGTTTGGGACATCCAGAGCTGTCTTTCTCCCGACAGAAAACTAATCATTTTCTTCAGACGCCTGTCACCATCCTAACAGACAACACTCTGACAACTGTTGCAATCAATTAGGCTAGGGTGATCCTGATCACTGGAGAGTAGCAACAGTAGTTCAAGGTCTTAAAAAGAGTAAAAGAGAATCTCTTTTTGAAAAAAACAACAAAAAAAAAACAATTTCAAGTTCCAGAGGAGTGAATCGGCAGCGAATAAACCTATACCATAAGCCAAAGGTCAGACAATGAACAAAATCATTATCATCACTCATTTTGCACATAATGCGTAATGTTTATGAATAAGTATAAAGTTCACGATTATTCACTCAACCAAAAACGCAGAAATCACAGTTCAGAGCCTGTAGTGACGTCTTTATTGTCCAAACCCAAAAGAGATTCAACAAAGTCAAAACTAGGATAACTATTATTGATTGACACTGAGCATGTGCACCAGTGGAGACATAAATCCATTTCTGTTTAATCTATGAAATGTCAGCAAATAGTGAAAAGTGACTGCTTCCCAAAGCCCAAGATTATGTATTCAAATTGCTTCGACCAACAAAACTAAAAAAAATATTCAGTATATATTACAGATATGACAAAGAAAAACCGCAAGTTGTCACATTTAAGAAACGTTTACCAGTGAATGTTTGGATTTTTTTCTTGAAATTTAACTGGAATGGTTAAATGGATCATCAAAAATATTTGCTAGTTATTTTTCTGTTGATCCACTAATTGATTAATGAACTAATCGTTTAAACTCTAGTTACAATAATACTACAGCTATTTCAGCATCAGTCCTCTTATTTCTGCATTAATAATGACAATAATCCTTTATTAATAAGTTTTTCCACAGAAAAGCCAGTCTCAGTTGCATTCTGCATAATAGATACTAAAGCAGACACCCCAGAGTGATTATCAGAAATAATTATTATAAAAAATCAGATTCAAAGGCAGAGGTGAACGCAGTCATCAGTCACAGGACATTTGATTTAGCATGTTTGATACAGTGTTTACTAGAGCTACGATTAGGCTAGTCAGAGAATCACAGCTAATGGAAAAAAGGAAAAGAAAAACATTGGCATTTTTGGGGGTTTAGAGTCTCCAGGCGAGATAATCCATCAATGGCCCAAACAGACCTTGGAATGAGTGAATCTATGTGTTGACAATGCCTGCGTATGTTTGTAATCAACAGTACATGAGAGGGAATACAACAGAGTTGCAGTGTTCCAAGCCTAAGTCTTATATTTTCAGCCAAGCAAATTGTGGCCAGAAGCAGCAGATGCAATAAACACAATCTTTCTCTCTCTCTCTCTCTCTCTCTCTCTGTCTCTCTGTCTCGGTCTCCCCTTCTCCCTCTGATGGCAAAGAAAACAGCCCACTTCTGGGGTGTGCAGCAAATTAAATTTACTGTAGTTAATAGAGTGAGCCTATGCTGCTAAATGTCAATTTCCTGACCAAGTCCTTCCCCTTGGAGAATGATTAGCTAATTTGAGGCTGGGGATAAATGGGCTAATGCAGGACACACACAGATAAACAGCCACAGTTGGACCCCATGCCAAGCCCTTCCCCTGCTTTACATTTCATTGGCCTTATTATCTCCAGGGAAAATGGGTCCCCCTATGGCCTAAACATATTTTCATTTCTAATAAAAGGCCCTTGCTGGTCGCCCCCACGTACAACCCCCCCACACAGATGCGCTGCACCCTCACAGCCTCCTTCTTCCATTCCTCCCTCGTTTCACCGTCCAATCCATTAAATCGGAGCTCTGCAATTGGCTGGGACCATTTTCCTGGTGAATTATCAATAGAGTAATTATGCTGCATGTTGGGAGCTCGGCTGAAGCTTATCGCCACTGACCCCCCAGTGCGCGCCAGGATATGATCCCTCACCGCAGCCCATTGGGGTAATTATGTGGTCGGGTGTGAAGCTGGATGGTGTGTTACCCTTATCAGTCTGTATTCTATTTCTGTTTTCATTGAAAATTGGACATTAATGGCAGCTACGCGATACCACTAGTGTCAGATACAGGTGAACGTCTCCAATGGAATCTGACCCCGGTTAAATCATTATTCATACTACGCAGTGTAGGGACGGGGAACACGTGAACACACACACAAACACACAAAAAAGACCAATCATCCTCACTGTTCCTTTAACCTTATCTTCCTCCTATTCGAGCAGCAGTCACGGACATTCATATTGTTTCTTCTTTCTCCCCCAACCACAATCCTCTGTTGGGAAGACAAAACAAAGTTTCTGTCTGTCCGTATTGTATTTGTCCCGTGGCAAAAAACACCAACATAGCTGCTGGGTGTCAGCGAGTGATGTTCTCCGTGATGCCCCAAGCAGGGTCCCCTTCCATTAGGCCTTAGTGTGGCACAGCAGTGATTAATGGCTATGAAACTTTAACCCTATCGCATTTCAGTTGACGCTGGCGACAGTGAACCCTGTCTGACCAGAGTCTTTCTTACCGATAATAGACTAAAAGCTAGAGAAGAGTTATCATGGGACGTAGCTATACAGTTGCATTACGTTTAAAAATGACCATCTCAGTTTCCTGGTTAGATATTGTATTAATAATAGGGAATACAAATTATTGATCATAATAATGTGAGTAGGATCTTAAATTGGAAGCGTTAAACTGAAAGGTTTCTATCTTACCATAATTTTTACAATGTTCATGTACAGAGGCTGATCCACTTTCAAGTTAGTCTCCAGACCAGCGTCTGTGTCTCTAACCACTATGCAACAGTGTATTTTTTTTTCCATTTTCACTTTTTCATTAATCTTTCTGAAAAAGCTGAAATGTGACTGTGACATTATCTGTGAATATTCCATTTTAAGCTAAATGGCTGCCTACTACTTTACTTAAAGAGTTTAAAGCACTTTTTTTTAAACAAAACTATAACAAAATCATTTTGTTAACAACTACAACTTTGGTGAGTTGAAGCCATAGGTGCACTATCCCTATCATCGTTTCATCTTTTTAAATGATGAGGTAGTCTGCTTCCGCAAGCAAGTACTAGCAATAGACACCCATTAAGCTTAAAATATGGACAGGAAATTGCAGAATCATGTTTAAAGCTTTTCAGAAAGAGCAGACAGAGAGATCGTCTATGAAAAGTACAAAAAATGGACAACAAAAGCCAGTGGAACAGAGGCTAACCCAGAGGCGGTGCAGGACTGACTTACAACTATTCATTGTAATAGTAAGTATTAGTAATATCACAGTCATTAAAATCATGACATGCCTTTAAACGACATATTGTGTGAAGCTGAATAGACTAGACAGAGATGGTTCCGTATACAATTTGTTAAAAAGAATAGGTGCCATCGGGCCTAAACTGGCCTGGAAAAAGCAAAATTATAGCACTTTTCTGGTCAACTTGTTTGCGATAGTGTTTTTTTATAGGTCCAGTGTATAAAATAGGAGAATCTACTGAATATAATATTCATAGGTATGTTTTCATTAGTGTATTAACGGATGCAAAAGGCTCCCATTGAACCACAATGTTTCTACAGTAGCCCAAACCATTTGACATTTTTCGTGGGCTTCGCAGCCACCATAGTTTCTTCCCCATGCTTGGAAGGCTGACC